AGTCTGAAAAACAACTCCTTCGAGCTCGGAGTATCTCACATAGTTGCCAGTTCACCTGTCCTGTCTTATTCACGAACTTATCTGTTCCTTTCAGCTCTGCCAGTCCATTTACCTCATGAGCCTCCCCTCTAAATCTCTCCCTACTAAGTCCCCATGCCAAGCGCTTAAGATCTCACCTATGCTGTAAACAGCCATGTCTTCAAAAATATTCTCTTTAACAGCTCCCCAACACCTCCTCATAAAACCTCCACCAGCCATCCACTGCGCGACTTCTGAGATTCTCTCTTCCCTGTCCAACTCATGCCCCACAAAGGCATGGTGACCATCCTTCCAACCAGAATCTAAAACCCATAAACCATTGTCTGACTGTTGGTTAGCCAAGTTTTTCCATACAAGTGTGTGACTTGATCAGCCTTTCCCAAAATGGTGCCCATCAGGTGTGTTATTGGGAGTAATGCTAGGCTCGGAGAGTTCTGGGGCTCCTCCACAACTTTGAACAAGGCTTGAAAATGTTACATTTTTTGGACTACAGCTCCCAGAATCGCCCACTGAGCATGGCTAGTAGTCACAGGAGCTATAGTCCCCCCCAAAAAAAGATAAACTTCCCAAGGCCCATCCTGGATTAGCAATGGAGTGGAGGGACAAGGCTAGCAGCTATCAAAATAATCTATTTCCAGTTGTTCTATAATGTTCAGAGATTTTTTCCCCCTGATATTATATTCTAGTCTGTTATGAAACATGTGACACGCTTGCCAGCTTCTTTAACATCTCTAGAGAGACAACAGTATCAATTATTTTATGTTATTCAGCTGAGACACAAAGACGAGGAAATGGAATGTCTTCTGGGGTTTTCTTACTAGGCTGAGAATACAATGCTATTCTTTTAATAGCAATAGGAATTTGCACTGTTATGCAAATTTTACAGTACCAGAAAATGCCTACAGCAAAGTCAATCATAGAAAAGTTGTTATTTGGCTGGTCAGATTTTGTTTTATTTGAGATATAGTGGATTAGCCCTTTCTTATCAACTTGATTGAAGCTCTTCTAGCCCATTGATTATCTCGGTCTAACTTACAATATAATTATGTGTCATCAAGATAATTCTGACTTCTGGCAACCCTCCCATGGTTCCCTAGATATAAAATCCCAGAAGTGTTTTACCATTTCCTCCTTTTGGTGGCACTCAGGGGCCATGGAACTTGACCAAGGCCACACAGGTGTCAGGATGTCTCATCCGAATAGCCCCACATGCCGGATTGGTTCAAACACGCACTGAAGACTTGGCTCTTCCACCAGGCTTTCCCTAGTCATGCACTCTAACACACTGAGCTATAGCAAGTCATGTGCATAATCTTCATTCACATTTGAGTGTGAGGAAAATAAAGTGCAGCACTTCCTCCCATAAAGGGGATGCTTAAAACATGCCAACATTTCCCCCATGTCATAGGACACGAGGAGAATTTTGGAGCATTTCGTAAAAATTAGGATCTATGCCTTCCTCCCCCCACCCATAAGGATGACTCCATCTATAGGGCTGCCTGAGGACCACCAACAACAACAACCCCGCTGTTGAAGATGTCCTCCATTTGAAGGTGTGTCTGGTCCAAGGCTTCTTTTAAGATAAAAGACTACAAAGGGGGAGATCAAGGACCTTGAAGTTGCCTACCCACAATTCACAGCAGGACTCCTCCCAACCCCAATGAAAGCAATTTTACTTAAGTTACAAAGATCTTTTCTAATTCTGCACCTGAACACATAAATTAGCACATGCAATTTATGTAAAGTATATGCTGATTTATTGTCCCTTTTTTGTAATTCGTAAGTGACATCCCACATCTATACTATGCAGGGTCTGTCCCTACCGCTGAGAACCAGACATGGCTCCTTATAGAGTCGTAGAGTCCTCCACCCTCAAGTGCTTCTGGATCCTTGTAAAATTTTGTGGAACATCTTCAAGTCAAACAAGCAGCTTGGCATATTCCGTGAATATGTTTAGCACTTGTTGGAAAGAAATTTGTCATGTGTCAATATTTGGGCTTCCTCAAAATCACATAATGATATCTGGCTGTGAGTGCCTAGTTATTGTGTAATTTCCATCCCACACTAAGCTCACTGTTTAAATAAGAGATAGCTTTTTGAAGTTCATTGTGGTCAATTGAATGAGATCAACTAACCTTTTCTATTCCAAAATCCACCACTGCCATTTTTTTTGAAGTGTGGATTGTATATAGACTCTTAATACAGCTCTGAAAGACTTCACAGGTGCAAACAATGACGTTACGCATACTAGAACATACTATGATATTTGAACATGCTCAATGTCTCTTGCACAAACTATGTCCTTACAAAATAAATGATATTTTTAAAATGTAAATTGTAATCTAGCACCTCACGACCTGCCTGAATCTTCTCAATCTTTGGCCACTGAACTCAGGGCGGGCCCCATCTTTGGCATAAATCAGAAGGTCACTTTTCCCGACGTGAAGAAAAGGCAGCCATTACTTTTCTTTCCTGTTGGATTTGTACTGCCAAGTAAGTGGAGAGATTTGTGTGGAATTTTCCACAAGTGCAGAAATAATCTCGTTGGGTGATGCTTTGAGCCTACGTTGTGCAAAGTGTCCTGAGCCTGTCCTGATATAACTCCCGAGACATGGAATGGTGCAGCTATGTAGCTGGCATAAAACCTGGCAGGATTTAGGTAAAACCTTTACGATATTTCACACAGAAGTGCACACCTGATTGTTGATGTGCCTTGAGCTGACATTGATCAGGGCAAGTTTGAAATGCACTGGAAGTTGTCTTACAATAGTGAGAACTTCTTAATAGTACAGAGGGGGAAGGGGAGAGTGTTCCTTGATGCACCCATTGATTTATGTTTGTTCAGTCTGACTGAAGACTTCCCTCTGAAATTAACAAATTTGATGCAGGTCATCTAGGTGCTATCAATAATCAGCAAGCTGCATGAAAAAAGACTGTGTGGTCAACTGCAGTGGTTCCCAACCTTGAGTCCTCAGGTGTTCTCCCAGAAGCCTTCACCACTAGCTGTGCTGGCCAGGATTTCTGAGAATTATAGCCCAATAACATTTGGGGATCCAAGGTTGGGAACCACTGGTCTAGTGGATAGAGTGTTGGGCCAGCACTTAGGAGACCCAGGTTCAAATTCTTGTTCAGCCATGGAAACCCACTTGGGGAAGTGTTGCTTGATGCACCCATTGATTTATGTTTGTTCAGTCTGACTGAAGACTTCCCTCTGAAATTAACAAATTTGATGCAGGTCATCTAGGTGCTATCAATAATCAGCAAGATGCATGAAAAAAGATTCAGTGTGGTCAACTGCAGTGGATCCCAACCTTGGGTCCTTAGGTGTTCTCCCAGAAGCCTTCACCACTAGCTGTGCTGGCCAGGATTTCTGAGAATTATAGCCCAATAACATTTGGGGATCCAAGGTTGGGAACCACTGGTCTAGTGGATAGAGTGTTGGGCCAGCACTTAGGAGACCCAGGTTCAAATTCTTGTTCAGCCATGGAAACCCACTTGGGGAAGTGGCACGGATAAAACCAGTCCTTTAAAATACCTTTAAAAATAGTATAATTCTTGATTTCAAAGAAAACCAAGGCAGAGTGTATATGCTATATTTTAAAAAAGCCAATTTTATTAAACTCAGAACAAGAATAAATAAAAGTCCCATGGCAGGAGATCCTAACAAGAAAAGGAGTCCAAGAAGGGTGGCACTTATAATAAAGGAAATTCTAGAGGCATGATTATGAACAATTTCAATAAGAAAAAAGGTGTGAGAGAGCAAAAAGTCAGGGTGGCTTCACAAAAAGCTCAGAAGGACCTGAAAACTAAAAAAAACAAAAAGAAAAAAAAGGACATGTATAGAAGATGGAAAGAAGGCCAGGCCACAAAGGAGAAGTACAGACAAGTAGCAAGGAACTGCAGGGATGGCATTCAGAAGGCAAAAGCTGAGAATGAGCTGAGGCTATCTAGAAAGACTACAAGCAACAAAAAAATCATTCTTCGAATGACTGTGAAGCAAAAGACAAAGAAAGGAAACAGTAGCTCAGCAACTCAATGGAGATAGAAAAATTATAGCAGACAACAAAGAAAAGCCAGAAGTGCTCAGTTCCTGTTTTAGCCCAGTCTTTTCCCAAAAGACAGACTATGACCCTGTAGTCAGCCTCTTAGTTTCCACAGAGCTAGGACCCTGGTTTTCAGAGGTTCTAACTTTCATGGAGGCTACTTATTCAGTTGTGAATTGCGCATGTTGCTCCAGATCAATTCACACCTGACTGTTTTAGAAGTCTAGTCTTTAGTGTTGATGAAAGGCATCAGCAACTTCTTGAGATACAGTATGTGTGTCATGCTTGGATATCAAAGTTAGGGAGATGGGGAGAGGTGGGGACTAGCCTGTTTGTGCCTTGTTTGGTGAGGTACTGGTAAATTTGGAAACACAGCTGATCTTCATGATAGTGTTCCCCAAAATTATCCAAAAATGCTGCATCAATCCATCTCAAAAAAACAAACAAACAAACCAAGAGCTAGCCTTTTCTAGGCAAACGTCTCTTAGTTGCCCATTCAAATCCAAACAACCCTGAACTACTTTGCAATATAGCAGAGACAGCTTGTAGGGTTGTATTGTTCTGGGGAGAAATCAGTTTCTGTCCCAGCAGTTGAGAAAGAACTGCTGGAAAACTCTTTTTAAAAAATCCTTATACCCAGGTTGGCTCAAGCCGGCAGTTTGAAGTGGCAGACCACCCACTATTTCAATTGACTGCTGCCACCACTTGATTAAAAAGGGGTCCTTATCCGGAAACAGTACGGCAGAATTGAAGTACAAAAGCTAATGAAATGGTGAACGGGGAGAGAGATCCTGTTTGCAGGACTCTGACTAGCTGTAAACAAACATTGCGGGTATCCAACCTGTCTCTGCTTTTGTTTCCTTAATCCTTTATGTTGTGATGCTCATCCTCGTGTCTTCTTGTTACTTTTGTTCACAGTGGATTAAATTTTATTGACTTGATGGTTCGCCAGGGGAACATTGACAATCCGCCCAAGACACCGCTTGTTCCTGGATTCGAATGCTCTGGAATTGTAGAAGCTCTGGGTGACAATGTGAAAGGCTACGAGGTAATGTTACGTGTCACTTTACAAGATTAGGAAGAAGTCAACAGCCTAAATCCAGTTACTAGTCCCATTGAGTCAAGTGGAATTACATAAGCGTTGGCTTACCATTTATCTGTCGGTTAAGAAGTATCTTCCTTAAACTGGGACTTGCAATTGGATTTAACAGAATGCATTTAATGTCTGGTTTGGTTTCGTTTTGTTTTGCTTTGCTTACATTCTGCTTTAATAGCTTGAGCAAGCTTCAACAAGGCGCTTTGTGGTGCAGTGGTTAAACTGCAATCAAAACTCTGCTCATGACCTGGGGTTCAATCCCAGGTAGCCGGCTCAAGGTTCACTCAGCCTTCCCTCCTTCTGAAGTTGGCAAATTGAGTACTCAGCTTGATGGGGGGGGGTTGAGAGAGACAAGGTGTAGCCTGCATAATTAAATAACTGCCCAGATAATCAGTATGGGGGCAGTATGTAAGCACATTTTGCTTTTTTGGACAAAATGTGCCTGCAGTGTCTGGGAGATTCTGGAAGCTGTAGTCCAAGAAAATAACTTTTCAAATTCTGACGTTAACACAGTTGAACTTTAAAGAGAGGAGCAGAGAGATTCACCAGGTACCTCTTGCCTTGGAGATTGTGATGGACACTTGAGCAGAAACATCAGCTCAAGAGTGCACTAGCAATGGGGGGAAAAAAGGCAAAAACAGCTATTATTACAAAAATAAAGACAGCCGCTATCATGCTTCCTTTCTTGCTTCTGTGTGAGTCATGATTGTGTAGCCAAAACAGTAGCACCCCAGCCAAAAGAGGAAGTGTACATTTACAGTACTTGGTGGCTAGACTTTGCAAAAGTATATACAATATGTGTGTGGGGGGGGAACCTATGGGAGTCCATGAACAAATCTCCCAGTGATAGTGGCAAGTTGCATTCTAATTCCAAAAATGATGAGTAAATCCATTGTTACCTATTGTTCTTTTCCATTTGAGAGAGGGTGGGGTTGAAATCCTTGGTTCTATAACTGTATTGTAAACAGGCATTGTACTTTCAAAGATTGGTTTGACAACAAAAAATAAAGCAAACTTACAAAACAATTTTTTAAAAAACTTCCTACCTTTTTCTTATGGGGAGAAAAGTTCAATGAAATTGAGATGACAGATCTCTTTCTGCAATTTTATCCAGAGAAGCACCACCCTTTCAGAGCTGTCAGTAGGGTTTATCTATTTCTTTACCCTCAAGGCAATTAAAATGAAAGTATCTTGAGATGCTACAAATGTCTTGGTGCTGTAAACTTCTCTTCCCCAGGTTTCCTTTGATCGAACAGGGTTGTGTTCCAAAATGGTGCAATAAGAATTTGATTGAGTTTGAAATGTTCTACTGCAAAATAAATAAATACATTGATGGCAACAAGCTTTACAAACTTTGCATTCTGTTTCCTTGGTTCTTTTGGAAATGATGGGATGCATCAGGATGTAGGTGTGTGATGGTTTAACTCTAGGATAGAAGTGAGCGACACTGACGTGTTTGGGAACCAAAGATCTTTCCCCAGGACCTTCTAGATAGGGATGTTAATCTCACTGCTTCTT